TAATGCAGACTTCACAAAGTGATCCAAAAGATGCTATGATTTGGAAACATCCCTGAAATTTGTGTACACAAAACAATAAGATTAATTGTGATTTTGTCAGGACTGCATAGATGACTAGGTATATAATTGGAGAGTTGAAACACAATTCGCCAAAATTGTGTGATTGTTAGATGGTTAAGACACCTGATATTCCCAGGCTGCTGGTGTATTTTACAACACAAAGGCCCAGATAAAAAAAACACTAAAAAGAGTAAAGTATTAATTAAACACCGGTGCCACATAATTGTCTTAACATTGCTATCACAAATTGCATTTTTTAATTAAATCCGATGTTTCCAGTACTCATACAATGCAGAAAAATGAAATAGTATTTGGGCAGTAGTGTTCCAGGCCGGTACCACCCAAAAAACGAAACTTTGACGGGAGCTGGGTGCTCGCACACACTGACCTCAGCCCCAGTTGATCTTGTCTTAGCCCCAGACCTTGTGAACTCATGAACGCTGCTGAGTGAAAAGTCAAGCATGACCCTAATTTGCTGGAGAACCAGTGGCTGTCAAATCATATAACTAGCCTGGACAGAGCAGGTGAAACACATCTGGTCACATTCAGCCGATGTCAGATTACCTAATGATAAAAGCAAATGTATTAGAATGAAATATCACAAGAAGGAAGGAAAATCCATGTCTTCATTAATAGACTACGGCTCATAGTCATGGTGGTTGAAAATTTGAGACAACAATGCAAACAAAGAAAACTAAAACCAACAGAGCAAACCAGAATCAAAGTGATTTGGTTCACACTTAATTTCTCACAAGGGATTAAGAGGTATTCTGAGAAAGACCCATTAGTTGGCGTGATAACAATGGTTTCCTTAGATACACCAGTCTTTTTTGAGAGTCTGAGTTTGGTGTCATGTGGTTGTAATTAAATGCATGACTGGATTTTTTCCTAAATTCCTCTTTTTTCTTTCTATGCTGTCAGTTCTGTGATGATAATCGTAATTCTTTGGAAAGGCCATTTATCGGAAAGATACAGTTAGTGACCCCTCAAGGTAATGAAAATAATGGTGGTCTTTACTGTATGTGTGAACATGCAGTAGGTGTATCACTTTTAAAAATACATCTACAGATTGTTATTAATAAGGGAAACATGAATCTGAATTTTTTTTTTGTGATGTGTTAAAAGTTTAAAAGTAGTTCGTAATTTGCACATTGTTTTCTATTCTAATATGCAACTGAATAAATCTATTTATCAAACTATTGCCAGTTCGTCACGCTACTACTACACTACTTATCTACCACAATACAATCGTTACTCATATATCAAGGTTAGCAAAAACAATATAAATGTGATGTAAGTTGCTTGTCGTATGATGAAATGAAGAAAAGGGGGGGTCGGGGTGGGTTGGTGTTGGACGTTTTAAATTGTTCAACCATCCCCCCCCCCCCCCTTTATTTTCTAATTAATCATACGACAAGGAACTTGCATTACAGAGAAAAAAGTGAACGCATTACTACTCAAATTTTTATCTCTGCCAGGAGAATCATGCGATTGTTTGTGTGTTTCCGTGAGTGAGTTAGTGAGTAACTGTGCACCTAGTAACTGTGCACCTCTGTGTCTGTCCACGGCTAATCTTGCATTGTGCTGCAGCACACTGCATAATATTTTGGGTGCCCAGTTAAGGCTGAATGCTCAGGGACCTTTTTGTGGTTGCGGTGACTCACACTTTCTCAAAAAAAACAGCGTGATAAGGAAAAGTGCATCGCCGAACCTGGGCCACTCCTCTGCAACCAGAGACACAGTGCCTTTTTATTGGGTATCAATGTTCTGTTTCATATGGGTATTGTGTAACTCTTAAAGCCAGAGACTGATTATAATACTAGTTATGACGTATTTTGGTAGAAACTAATGTCAACAAACATCGCTTGTTCATTCCAATGAAATGCCTTCTGTTTGCATATTTTCCTTCAATCTTGCCATACGTGTGCTGCACTGGGAACAAAAATAGCTTACAAATGAGGAAAGAGCATTTCAAGGTCAAGAAAAATAACAACAGCGCTCCTTGTGCCAGTCTTTGCGCTGGTATGACCCATAATCTCATTACAGGTGATGTAAAACAGTGATGCCTTGCAAGCATGCATACAGCTTTGTAAACACATGCTCAGACATGTTGACACAACCACACGCACACACACACACACACACGTTCTGATTTAACCCAGTGAGTAATGGGACATTTTGGTCAGGTGTTAATAATGTTAGCCCTTATTATTATTATAATAACAATCTCTGTTTGGTCGTCAAACTCTTGATCTAAGTGGTAAATTGCACAAAATAGTGAAATGCAAGAAAATGTAACCAGTAATCATGTACAAGTAAATTACACAGCGAGGGGCTCATCGCAGGTCATAAATGGTGACTGAAGTGTGTTATTGTTCTCATTCAACCCCTAATTATTATGTGCATACTTGTATAGTTGTGAGGATGTTCACTTCTACTCCGAGAATTCATGCCAGTTGGAAAAAATGAGGCCGTACTTATGAGGTTTGGGTAGTGAAACAGTCTTCCTTTCATCTTTCATGTCAGCAGCCATTAGGCACCACCAGAACACTGACTAGCTAAACAAGATTGGCACTCAGTACTCCCTTCTCGGTCTATGCAAATTGGTCCCTTTTGATGTTGAACCACCAGCACAGGGAAGGACAGAATGAGGAAGAGCAGACAGGAGAGGGAGGGGGAAGACGAGATGAGCTTGTTTTTAATCAGCAGCTGCTTCTAATGAGGACCTGTGTCAGCAAAACAACACAGCCATGCTGCCAGCAGAATTTCAAGTATTATTTATAAGCCAGGAATTTTATATAAATGGCTGCTAGACTTGTTGTGTTTGCTGTTAAGTTGTTTTGGCTTTTGGCTGAAAATCAGACAAGGGCCACAGCTGAGGGGGGCTTTAGAGGAAGAACAGGAAGCTTTTATTCTGTAAACCAGTAGTATTTCCTCAGACCATGTAATGAGTTAACTTTTGTGCTTTTGTACAAATCTGTTTGGTTGTTTGTCAAGAGAAAGAGGACGGAAGAAATTATATTACACCTTAACCTCCTCACTATGATGGGAATTTCTGTATCCAAATTCTATTTGAGTCAAAATGAGTAAAAAATGACAACTATTTCTTCTTCTCTACTTTCTCAATGCACAGCTTGCTCTAGCTGTTAGTTATTACTGTTACTGTAACTTCATTGCAAAAACACAATAAAAATGACAGCAAACAACAGTACACACTGTCAATAGTTACGTTGTGTAGTTTCATGGTGGCACATACTTCGATGTGTGTGTGGGGAAAAAAAAGAATTGATTTAACACAGTTCCACTCAATGTTTCCCTACCAGCATCATTGCATTAGCATTGATGGATTCTGTATTGCTTGCTAGCGAGCTAGCTGCCTTTGTTAAGATCAAGTTGGTGTCATCGCAGTCAGAAATAATTGTACAATGATTCAAAAATTTGTCAAAATGTGGTGTAAATCGTACACCAATGCAAAACTCCTGAGCAGCAGAATAAAGTGACTTTAAGTCATAAAAAGTGAGTTGCAATTGGGCAGCCTGTTCTACGTAAATCAAAATTCTATGTGCCTGCTGCAGCAGCAATCAGACTTTACTGACTTTACTTTTGGGGGTTATGCCTTGCAAAAAAGCACAACATGGAATCTATGAGGTTACTACTGTGTATTCTTAAATGTAGTTTCTATTGGGCAGCTTTAATTGTAATGGCAAGGGGGCAAATTACTACAGACACACCTTACTCACACATTGACAGAGCTAGAATCTCTATTGCACGTACATTTGCAATTACACACACACAATATTCTAACCCTATCGGGTAATAGTCGCAGGCAATTTTTTAAAATGAAAAACTCAGAATGCCTTGAATGAAAGCTGCTAGTGTGGATGCAACTGATATACTGTAAATTATTGGTTTAATTGAAGATTTAATGAAAGGAGAACTTAATTTTCTCCTGGTTAATAAGTACCATGCAGCTGCAGGAAAGTGGTATGTGTGCCACCCATATCTGTTGTAAAGAGAGATAGACGAAGACGTGACAAAGAAAAAACAGCTGGAGAATATTCATAATGTCCATATATCCAATATCACCTCCCCCCCAGTGATCTAAACTGTTATATTATTACAGCCATGGTGAATTGTGCAACAATCAGGTGGTACTAATGTCTATCAAATATGCCATATCACATTATAAAGATGCCCGTTAATACGGCACAGTGACATGCTGCGATGAAAACCATTTATTTAATGTTGTTCCGAGTAGAATTCAGATCAAATTAATCTGTTCTGTTGCCACTGATTGTCTAAGAAAAGCATTCAGACACTCATTTCATGCTCATCAGCTTTTATTGAATTTACAAACCAAATGAGAAAACATCTTATAAATTCAATTATGGGCTTCTCCCACTTATGTCAAACAATTTAAGATGTATGAACGCATTAGTCCTCATCATTTTAACATGTAAAGCACAGAACTGTTACATAGTTGCAGAGAACCCCTCTAAGGAAATAGTGCAATTTCTCTAATTAACATTATGAAACGTAGCACTTTGGAAATGGTCATTAAACGTACTGTATAAAGACTAATAAACGTACTCAGCACTGTCAATAATGTAATCTATGGTCCCAGTTTAACAGACAGTCTGGAAGTTTCAGGATAATGAAGACAATTGGGGGACATAACTGACGCTACATTCCTGAGGCATTACAGGATGCATTCAAGACACGGCAATATCAGAAAACACAAGAAAATGGAAAATACATATTTACTAATTTGACAAGATACAGTTTCCTGTGTCTTCAGAAAGATACTCAAAATACAGCACTGTTGCAATATGTGCAACACAATGGAAATAGTTCCAAGCACACAAATGATTAACACAAAAAAAATTGACTGCACATTAGCTAGCCAGTTGGACACACAGATTCCATTCACATGATGGGTATTGAATTAAGAACTCTTTAATGGTATCTCTGGTGAAAACATACATTTACTCATGTGGACAAATTGCTTGGGAGCTTAAAATGGGTTTACCAAAGTCTTAGGTTCACAAAAGTAGTGTAGTATATGAATAAAATGTGCAATGAATGTCTAAAATGACATTTTGTAATATTTGAGTAGACCCCACTCCACTTTCATCATTGAGGGACTGAGATAAAACGGGACAGAAAAATGATTTCATGATACATATCAAGCTTCAAGGGATGCGTGAAAATGAGAAATGAGTATTAAACATTTAAATTTAAATCCAACTATAAAACAGATATTTACATAATGCGCATGTTTTCATGTTTAATTTTTTTTGAACGGTCATGTCACACTGCAAAACTGTTTCTGTCCAGCTGCAGGCAGAGAGCATCATCACACTCCCTGCATTTCCACGGTGTGTCCTTTTGCTGGCCTTCGCTTTGGCAATGTTCACACCTCCCGTGGTGGCTCGCTCTCTCTGTGGACTGCTGCATGGACATCAGCGATAGGCACAGCAGGATGACCTGCAAGCGCCAGGGCAGGAGCTGTGCGGAGAGGCTTGCCAATATTCGGCTGTTCGGCAGTCCGCTCATCTATAAAAGCTCTGTGTGTCATGGGTTTGGTTTGCTGGGCTGGACAGAGATCCTTGTGAAGAATGTCGCTGTTGGTGGTGGCAATGTCCAGAAAATGATAAAACAGGCTTTTGTGATGTGAAATACTGAATGCTCTGGTCTGATAGTTCAGATCCACCCATTGTTCTTTCGAACTGATGTGGGACAAGGGATTGATACCTTTGTCCAAGAGCCCCGTCATTGTTTCACCCTCCTCTGCACAGTTTTACCACAATGTACTTTGTGAATTGGGGATCAGACCAACACCTGTGACCATCCATTTTGTATTTTTTTTTTTAAACCCGGTTTCATATTTTCTTGCGAGTTGCTGCGGTTCTCCCTATAAGCAGGATGTCGCTTTTGCAGATGTAAAATGAAAAGTCCACTGGAGCCATTCTTTGAATCGGCCGAGGCGAACAGCTTGAATCCCCACTTGCTTCCATAAACTGGGTCATTCCCTGTTAAATCTTGGAGGCGACCAGTCTTTTATTCACAGCCTGATCTCGGTTGGGTTGGTAAAATGACTTGCATGCATTTTTGATGATCATCAGGGATTTTAAGTCAGAAGAGTTTGTCATGGCGGCCTGTGCCTCTTTTTCCGTCATTATCCTCATCAGGGTCGCTAAGATAAAAGGTAACAAGATATTGTTCTGCATTCTATACCATAGCATGATCTGTGATGGAAGGTGATAATGTCTCCAGTAATCTGTGATACTGTCTAGTTTTACCATGATGGTGCACAGACGCAGCCTAATGTACTTGTCCATTTATATTTCTTTCCCTGTGATATCTGTTTAGAATACTGCTTGTATTGTGTGTTTTGAGAATGAGGGCTGTATATGTGGAGGTGGAGCTGAGCCCCCAGTGTCCACTTGTTGTAACTTGGAGAGAGGGAGCAGTTTGCAGGTCTATTTCTGTCTTCCAAGACAGCAGAGCTGGCTGCTGTGTAGGTGGGGGCGCTGGTGCATGGGTGATGGTGGTTAGGGGAAGGTACTTCAGCGTTGTAGGTGATGGCTTTGGACGAGGCCCTTGTGACAAGGTTGATCTTGACCTGGTGGTATGCAGGAAAAAAATTGGAGATTAATTACGACAGTGCATTGAAAGAAAGTTCTGACCCCTTCTTATTTCTTCCTCCAGATCCCCCACACAGTATCTGCCTGTCCGCTGCCAATTATCACTTTCCAATGTTGCCCATTCATAGAAAATTGCTACTCCCGCTTCATGATGAGCAAATTTGTATGATATCCCCATATTTTCTGGTCCCTGCTCTAACTGGATAATGATGTATTATCACACCTCTTTGGCTTATAGACAGTAAAGGGAAACAAATAGGCATGAACATGACAGATATTTCCCAACATCTAAATATTCAACAGTATGGTTTGAGAAGTTGCAAAAACTGATTCAACAAGCAACTACTGGTTGTTCTAACAGTCCTAGTTTGGCTGGGTTCCTACTGGTAGGTCAGACATTTGTTTTATCTATTGGCTGGAGCCGTCACGATGCCAAAGCAACTGCAGATTATCTGCCTAAAAGCCCTGAGAAAGACCTGTGAGAAGGTGGTCAACAAACAGAATTGGGGTGAGAGCAGTGGTGTTTTAATATGTAAAAAACAGTGGGGCACTGACACACAGAGAGAGACAGAGAGAGCAAGTTACAAAACTGCAAGTCTGAATTAAGAATGCGATATTTGATTGTCATAAGCCTACGGCTGTAACGAATAGTTCAATGCTCAATGCATAACATTCAAATTATCATCAATGCCTTACAGCAAAAGCGTGTGCAATAGTCCAATTTCTCTTCTAGAGCAGAGGTCTTCAACAGGGGGTCCGAAATTTTTGGTAGATTAGACAATTAAAAAAAAATATATAGAAATTATTTTCCCCAAACATGAATGTGTCCATTATTTTAATAGTTCAGTGTTGTGTGAAAGATAACAGGGATGTTTATGCATGGCAGTGGCACTAATAGGCCATCACTCATTTTCATTTCCACATTTATGTTTAAAATGAAATCAATTTCAATAGCTTGTATGCATGATTATGATGCAATTGACAGACAATGTTTATTGGCATTGGTATCAGCTGCCAAGGTATGTTTATAAATGGCAGTGGCACGGCCTCCCTACTCACTGTACGTTGCACGTTTAAAATAAAAACATGAATATATGAACCTGTGTATTATTTGAATAGATTAGTATTGAATGCACAATAAAGAGGTATGTTTATACACGATACTAGGCCCAGTTTAATATAAAACACAATTGTATACAATATATAGTCGGGGGTCCCTGCTCCATCTCTCTATCAGTTTGGGGGTCCTTGGCCTGAAAAACATTGAAGACCCCTGCACTAGAGAGAAGAGAGCTCTTTTAGCAATCGTCTCAAAACCTCATTTAAAGTGTTGCATGTAAAAAAATACATTTGATAAAGCCCTATGGCTAGAAGCTCAGAACAAATGAGCCTGCAGAGCTGCAAGCGAAGACCTCAAGCTTGACACAAATGACGGCCACAACAAAGCGCATAGACAACTTTTTAGACAGTCTCAAACATGCATCTGAATGTCAGAGTCAGATTCAAAGACTCCGCCATGGCCCCTGCGGTGCCGTTTCACATTTTCCACACAGTTTAATACATGTTACGAACCGACTGAGCACGTACCTGTTTTTTATGCTGCTCAATGGAGTGCCTGAATGCGCTGTCAATTTGGGCAGTGACATTTACACTTCCAAGTAAACCCAGTTTCACAGCATTATCCAGATGACTCCCACTGCCCTCATGTTTCGCGTCCCCTCAGAAAGATGTCACGAATCTTCATAACCCGTCCTCGACCAAGTACCATCTCCACCAAAAAGCAGACATGGAGTGCCTTCGCTTGTATGTTCACCTACTTTTTCCTTTGAAAACCACAAGCCAATTCAATTTGTAATATGAAATGATGCTATAGTGGGGCTACAGGCCGTCAGCCCTCAAATTTGTGTGATCTACATTCAATACAGACACTCTGAGCATGCGTATTTATACTTTACCACGTACAATGCACATTGCATTGAGAGAGAGGGGCTAGCCCCACAGGCCCACGGCTGCTGTGCCCCCTTACTTTTAGTGTGAAGCCTGGACTGTGTTGCATCTCAAAAGTTCCGAGAGGATTTTTTTTTTTGTTACTCATTCAGGTTTAGTGTTTCCTGCTTTAATTTCACAAGTTCACTCTTCCCCTGTGTCCTGTCTGGTTTTCCTGCCTTGCTCTGATTAGCTTCACCTGTCTCACCTGCCAGTTACAACATATACCAGCCCAGTTCCTTTGTCCGTTTAGAGTTCCGGTCCAATTTGCCCGTGGTCCTGCCTGCTGTTTTGTTGGACTAAAGCCTGTAAACTTTTTGATTAAATCATTGCAAAGTTTCTGCTGCCTCAACTTTTTCTGCAATCTAGATCCATCCCCTGAAGCCTGTTTTCCAGACCGTGACAGGGAGAGGTTGTGAATGAGGCAGGGAAGAGGTTGGAGGCTGAAACAGTTCATCATTCTACTTCCATTCTGTGTATTTCAACCAACTTCAATCATGCAAACCAAAACCTTTTATTTTGATTATGGCATTATTACCAGCCAGACAGAATACAGATTGAAGAGTGATTCTTACCATCTTATTTCAAGTGTGCTACAAGTAAACATGGGCAACCTGTACAAAGCAGTCATTAGATGGTTAGAGCAACTGGATGGGTTTGCATTGTGATTGGATGGGTCAAACACAACCTCTATTTGTGTTTGACTCAATGTTGACTTGTGTGAAACCAAGTCAACATTGACTTATTTTTATTAGGCAACATCCAGACTTTACAAAACACCCATTATGTAACGCACTGTTATTTCAAGAAAAATACAAATTGTAACCATGATCTTTTCTTAAGCCTAACCAAGTGCTTTTGATGCCTAAATTTAACCAAGTCATTTGTTGCTTAAGTAAACCTTACAAATAAGTAAACCAATGTTGGAAGTTTATTAAAAGATACAGTTTTGCATGTTGCATGAATAAAGTAAGTTTCTTGTATCTACAGAAGTTTATTTTGAAAAGACACTATACGTGAAACAAGCGGGACCTGGCACCCTGTCCCTGCCCGTCCACAACTGACGATAGAGGGGTATTTAGAGCGTCATGGTTTGAAGTGGAGGGCCACTGACCAAGATACTGTATTTGTCGAGTTGGAAGTAAGAGTGTGTTGACAAGGGAGCCTGGCTGAAAAAAATTCCAATAGTGCATTTGGTAAGCTTTTAACACACGGAAATAGAGCCATAAAGATACAGACAAGCCACTTCGAAAAAAGGTAAATGTATATGGCTTCCTGACCCCTAAAATGGAAGGTAAAACAGTCATCTTATCAAAGAATAACCATCTAATTTGAACAAAGTCCAATTAATCCTATCTACAAATTTTTATTCTTTCCTGCAACCGGTTTCAAACAACAGCCTTAGGCTAACAAAAGACATCTGAGTTCATATTCAAATAGGACTGAGGCCAAATCCAAGCTAACAGCCATCAGCTTTCTGCCACTGATGAAAGCTCCACCGACTGTGCCATGTTTGAACAAAGCCTGTGATACGAGCAGCCAAAATTCAAACTCCGTTGTGGCTGGAATAATGGGGTGCAGCGGTATCTTGGGGCTCTTTAGGGCGCAGATTAGTGTTTATGGCCCCTGCTAAATAATTGCTCAGGTCTCCAAAAAAGTATTTGAAATGCACTTCAGTGGACAATTAAAGTGAACTAATTTATTAACCACACAAAGGCTGCTTAAAACTATGCATACCTTTAATGAGCACCCCACAAAACCATGTGTATAGATTTTCTTAAGCAGTCTTCCAAAGTAAAGCTCTCCCACAGCTGTGAGGTGGATCGAGAACTGGCTTTGAAGCTCTCAGCCGTCTGCTCACTGAAGACGCGTGGCGTTACCGCACAATTTGCATTAGGCGTCACACCTTTTTTCAGCATAACTTTTAAATCCTCTGTTCTTTGAAAACCAGATACACAAGACATCATACCATTGCAACCCGCCAAAGTTATAAAGAGCTGTAAATACACATAGCACACATTGTTTGACTTGAGATGAGTTGGATGTTTATACTGACGGTTACCAATCATCTCAGTCTGTTACAGAGGAAATCTCACACGTACACAATGCAGTCCACTAGCCTTCATGTTAAATGTGGGATGTGAGAGAATAGCATCAGGAAATATTTCGTGCAAGTAGTTAGCACAAAAACATAAAAGGCAAGTAAAACGAAAAGACAGAGCAAAGCAGAGACAAAGACCAGTTGCCTGTATGGTAAAGAAAGCTTTGTCATGATGTGGCTTCATCAGCATCTGTCACTGCAGCAATAATGCCTGTTATCCTCAGTTTGTAGAGGGACGTTGCTCGAAAAAAATAGTCCAAACAGCATATGCAAATCATTTCCCTAGTTGCAAAGCAAGTTCCCCGTATAATTTCTGAAAACACGTGCATCAACAGAAGGAAATTTGCTGATGCTCATAACAGCAGAAAAGCTGCCATGCTGTACTTTCAGATTATTCAGCAGTGCTTTGAATCCACATGTATCACAATAGTCAATATTTAAAACAACATTCTCCCCCTTCCTTACCTCCAACGGGCTTTGCCTTTGATGCGCGATGGACAGGTTCCTTAATTAGGTTGATAGAATTGCTGGCCTAAGTGTGATGCTGACCATCGCTCCTCAAGAAGTAGTGCAGGAGAAGCCCGCCGTGAAGAACATTTCAACATTTTGTCACAACCCGGCTGTAAGTGTGTGGAAAGTGGAAAGTAATAAAAAATACATTTATTTAAAGTACCAATAACTAAACAAATAATCAAAACAAAGCAGCAGCCATGTCAAGAGACCCAGCCAAAGAAGAGGGGCAGCCTTTATAGCTGGGACCAAACCAGGCTCAGGTGTCGCCCATCAGTGGCCGATTAACATCCTGAAACTGACAGGAAACAGGACCCCTGGTGGAAGGGAGGAGTCGTCAGTTTTAAAAATAAATCTAGGCTCATGACCAGTGTGCGCGGTATGTATTAAGGGCAGCATCATAAAAAAGAGGGGTACCACTTAGCTGCACAAGGTGGGATGTTGTTGGTTCAGAGTTCCTTTTGCACGACGGTTACATTAAGGTCACTAGGGTCACTTGGGCAAAAAATGAACACAAGTAACTGAACTATAACAAACCTTATACTTATAACAGACAATATCGCAGCATCCTGTTCCATTTAACACTTATCTTATTTTTAATGTCACAATCCAAATCATATCCATAACATTAACTGTTCATATTTTGTGAAATGTTGTTTTGTGAAATGTTTCTGAAATGTTGTGTTTTGTGAATTGTCAGTATGTTTTGTGATATATCGTGTTTTTGTGAAATGTTGATCTGTTTTCTGAAATATCAGGGGCACCTTGGGAAGCTCTACAGAAGATATTTTCATCTAATTTTCTCATAACATTGAAACTAAGGATCGTGCCTGATAGGCAAGGGCAAGCTGCAGGGTTAGGAAACTGTAAGGTAAGCATGTCAATATTTGTCACGTGTGCATGGCCATGTTTGGCCCTGCTGACACTGTTTTTTTGCACTCTTTACTTTTGTGTCCATTTCAGGGCACGGAAGGACAGCAGTGTCAGGTTTAAAATGTATCACAACCCTTCTGCTGGTGCCCACAATCTCATATACAACAAGGGAAATGACCAACAGGACACTCTGCTAAGCTCAGCTCTCTTTTTTTCTATACTCCTTTATACTCCTTTTAAAAAGAAGGCAGAGCAATTTATAACATAAATGAATAATTTGGACTCATTTCAGAGTTGTGCTTCAGAATCTATTGAGCCAAATAAACTGACTAATATATTCAAAGAATTTCTAGGCACAAGATATCTCATGGGTCCAGGGCTCTGGCACAGGACTTGGTATGGATCTACTTCTGACAGGATGGAATTGTGTTTGAGTGTGTGTGTGTACTTCATGTGTGTGCATGGGAATGCATGTGCACACAGAGGGCCCAGAACAGATAGGATCTTGGCTTCAGCATTGTGCCCTGGTGTGCTGATCTCCGAAGAGCTTTTATCTCAACAGATAAAAGCTTTAGTTTCCCATGTTGCCAAGGACATTCATAAATACAATACCTGCATATATATATTTTACATTACCCGTTTACGTTACTGTCCTGCAATCTCATTTGTGGCTTCCCATATAAAGATTATATGGATGTCTTTCACCTGAAATTCCTTTTTCTGATGATAGATCTATATATTTTGGGGATATGATTCAACATAGAATACTGTGGATGAATGAATAGCGATGCCACCAACATGTACTGCATTCCAAACTGTGCTGCTGTACATTCACAAATTACAGATCTAAATCTGGACAGTCAAGCTGGCCCTGCAAACCAGTTTTATCATGCGATGTTGTGCGTGGTGCAATATTTCAACTGTGTGAGAAAAGCAGGGCTGTGATTCTTATTCTTTGTCACAGTTGAATTATTATCCATCTATCATTGTTGTATATGTGGCCCTAGCTGCATAGCTACAGATCATAGTGTAGGATTATTTTGGTTGAAAATGGTAAGTGCTTTCTTGTCTTCCAACCACTCAAAGTGCTTTAACACTACATGTCATCATACACTGATGACAGGGGCATGCAAGGTGCCACCTGCCCATCAGGACTAACTAACAATCATACAACATCCACACACAGTAGGCACAGCTACGGGAGCAACTAGAGGTTAAGTGTCTTGCCCAAGGATACATCGACATGGACTATCGGCGCCGGGAATCGAACCAACAATCCACCGATTGAAGGACGACCCTGCTCTACCACTGAGCCACTGTTGCCCCTGCTAGAAAATTAAAACATAGTATCCAGCCATTAAAGGAATATCTCACCCAAAATGTATCCCTTCAGCCCCCGTAGGCTTGAAAGATTGAAGGCTTGAAAGTTGGTAGTTTCATCCTTCACAGCACAGCCGTTATGGTCAGACAGAATTGATGTGGGTTCAAATGGTAACGGGTTTTCATGGCAGAAAAAAGGATCAAAACCATTCCTGCAGCATAATCCATCCCTTTGCTGGACATATACGTATTTGCTCAGTGTGGCCCATGCATATTAGACTTTATGTAAATGTATGTATACGTTTTTTCTCTGGTTAGTAGATTTAAATACTGCTTCAGTATCATCAGTATATCAGCAGCAACATTTCCCCACAAGTATTACATGTGACATACCCATTTAATGTACAAATTATTTATTATTATTAGTCAGGATATTTTTTTCCAAAATGTTTTTTCACACAACTAACAAACTTTTGTTCGCTTAACTTTCCCTCAGTGATCAGAGAACAAAGTAACAAAGGCCTTCTTTATACTAGCTTAGACATTAGTTATACACGTTTCTCACCTAAGGAGATGGTCAAGAGACGTGACCATATGAATGAGATGATCAATAGTGAGTAACGTTTGGCAGGGGGGTAGTGCTCCCATAATATTAAGCCTGGACCCCTCTCTGAAAATAACAGTTTCTTGTTTTCTATTTGAATATGGCATGTGTATCTATTCTATTGCTTGTACGTTCACTTGCAACTTTTTTATCAGTTAGCTTGTGTGCCTTCTCCTGTTGATCCAGGGGGTATTCAATGTGTTCATTCAAGTACTTATTAATGCCAAGTCAGTTTTACATTCACATTGTAAGTTGAAATTATTCTGTAAATCTAAATGTAAACGAATATGCAAAGGTCCTGGTTAGCTCTAGTCGTATATTTACAAATGTTTTGCATCCAGCCATGTTCTCCTGAAGGAGAATGTCTTTGTTTGTTTGTTTTTTACATGAATGAATGGCTGAGAGGTTTGTATTTAACAGTATGTTGTTTGCATCTTGCAATAAATATTAATATGTTCTTGATCACTTTGTGTTGTCTATTTGCCTGTTCTGTTCAAAAACTGTGTTTTGAGGCACTGCTGGCCTTTCAATGTCATTTATAAATGCTTTATAAGGCATAAATAGTCCTCACTTTAGATGAGGTCACATAAAACACTTTACTAACGAGTAGTAACTACCTTAATAAATCATGAATTAATCATGAATTGCAGTATTAATATGCGTTTATAAAGCATATATCAACATAGTCCCTAACCATTATATATATATAAATGCATGAAAAATGTACATCTAAATAAGTTATTAATCATTTACTAACACTTTATAAATTATCTTATTAATCATCTACAACTCCTTAATAATTGGTTTGTAATATTCATTTACAAATGGGGAATCCATCATTTATAAAGTATGAAAACACAATAATGAAACACATAATAGACGGGCTTATTAATCAAGAATAAAACATTTACAACTGTTATGAACTGCATACTAATGAATTATTAATGTAGGAACAATGCTTTATAAATGATGAATTAAGTGTTTACTCATACTTAACTAATGCTTCATAGTGTGTAGTTATTATAAAGTGTTACCATTAAATGTTGTAATTGTATAATTACTCATTATCACATTGAACTTCATAGCTTTATTTCAAAGTTCTGTGCATCTTTCCGACATATAACCCAAATATTGGGTTATATATATTTCAGTTGTAAAAAACAAAAATTGTACCTCACGGTACAACAATTGTAATCCTCTCAGCATTAATACTTCAAAGTATTATTTCACTTGCAAATCAGAATCAGCTTTATTGGCCATGTATGCTTATGCATACATGGAATTTGTCTCCGGTTTCCACTCCGCTCTCAATGTACAAACACAAATTTACAATAAACAAGAGAACAAATACCGAACTTGACTACCACAATACTTCAATTGCAATGCTCTAAACATTACAAACAAACTGTGTACTTATTACAACTTCTAATACGACTGCACTGCAATGTACATTATTTTAATTTCAGTGTAATGAAACGGTTTCAAATAAAAAATGCAACAAAAATGTATGTATATGTAACACAGTGCATCACTATATTCTTAAATTGTAACAACTCTATTGCCGTAATGCCAATAAAAACATTCAACTATTTAACAAAGAATGTCACAGCTCTGCCCCTTCTCTCCTGTCTTTTTATTTCTCACTCACCTCACTGACCTATCAACTCATTCAGTGCACCTGTCTGCCTCCCTCATCATCAGCCTAACTCCCTTCACCTGTCTCTGTTCACTAATCAAGCACTCTCTCCTCATCAGCACAACTCCCCTCACCTGCCTCTATCCAGCCACTATATAAACCCCTGCGTCTCAGTCACTCACTGCCAGATCATTGTCACGTCTACCCGCCCATTCGGCTTGTCCTGTTCCCGGGTTCCCCGTCTGCCTGCCCTACCTCGTCCTGCTGGATTTCCCCCTTCATCTCTTGTCTCGTCCGTGGGATCCCTATGTATTTCTTTGTAGTTTCCTGTTCTGATTTAAGTATTCATTAAATACCTGCTTCACTCTACTTCTGGTCTGGTCTGCGTTTGAGTCTTCTACCACACCCCGTGACAAAGAATAAGAGAAATGTCAAAGAACAGGCACGATGCGTGAATGCATTTTTTTTACGTAAAATTTCCCTCCCTCCCAACTCCTCCCTTTAAGTGCTATTGGTGACGTCTCAATGCACTCAAGACACTTGGCTTCCCCAAATAAACCATTTCAAGAAAGCAACGTTGCATAAAAGGGCAGAGGAAGCAGAGCAGGGCCAGAGCTGGTGCTGCACAGCTAATATGAACCCATCCCTATACAATGCTAGAGGATAGACTGTCTAAGCTGCTATCCACCAATGCCAGCATCCGTCATGCAGCATCATGCATAGTCATAAG